TTACTCACGTCGAGGCTGTACTTTTCGTCAGCCACCAAGAAGCAGGCATGCCCGATGAAGGCCAGTGCGGCGAACTTGCCTCGCTTCGAAATGTCGAAACGTTCCGCCGTGGATTCTCATCCCAGTGGATCGCTCCCTGACGTGGCATAGGAGCTTGCGCGGAACTCTCAAGGAAAAATAGGAACGCCCGGACTGAGGCGGACCCATCGATCATATCCTCCCGTTGAATTCTGCGCTTCGCTCGTGAATTCGATTCGAATTTCCTCTTCGGAATCGATGGGTCGGGATGCACCAGATCGACATGGTGGGGTCATCGTGGTGTCTCGTATTCATTGCGCCAACAACATCAACAATGGGAACAACAATGGAATTAAATGCTCATCGAATGCGCAGGCAGTTCGCATCTTCGCTGGCCATGCTTTTGCCATTCGCCGTTCCTGGTTGAACGTGGTGACAGACATTTGGACACATTGGCTTTAGTCAGATTGCAGTATTGTTGTATTATTCTCAGCGAGACTCTGGCCAATTGAGGATGGCTTCGCAGCAGGCGATCTGCGGCCGACTGGCTTCCACCTATCTGGCTGGATTGCTGACTGGCAAACGGGCTCGAATCTACTGCTGTTGCCGACTCGAAACCGCTCTCGCTACAGAATCGAGGAGGACTTTCGTGACAGAAGGTGTTGATTTCAACAACACAGCCGTACAGACCGGCTGACATACAAAGTACATTCGGAGAGATACTCTCGCATCTCAAACACACAGACAGACATAGGGATGACACCCAGCTCACGAGTGCTTTCTTTTTGAAAGAACCAGCGAGTGAGCGAGCGAGCGAGCGAACTGACTGGGTGGCGATGATGCCGATCGACGACGATGGCTGATGGCCGTGGTGATGGCGGTTTTCGCCCGGGGCACCCCTCAGCTTGATGCAACCGCATACTGGGATCGGATTCCAAATCGCCGGAGTGATAACACACATACACACATACAAATTGTCAATGCCGGTGTCGATGCCGAAGAGACCGATTCGAGCTGATGGCGCGGAGGCTGATTTCTCGGTGGAGTTCGCTCGACTTCCTCCTCCATCGAAAACGATGGATAGAGGAAGACTCACCGTGATTATTTTGGCAAAAGTGGCAAAAGACTCAGTCCGGAGGTCTATCGTTGGATAAGCAAGCAGGCCAGCCAGCCAGCGAGCAAGCCTGAGGGAGCAGCTGACTGACGAATCGGAGGGCCAATCCTGATGGATGAGTTCAGTTCTTTCCTTCCATTTTCCTTATGTTCTTTTCAAGGGTCTACTGAGTGGGTGGGTGAGTGGAGACTTTCTCTTGATCGCTTGCCGTCTGGGCTCCCGTGCGAGCGTCCGAAAGAGATCTTTCCCTCAACGAGGATCTCTCCCGTGGATGTTCCCTCTGTTCCTCTTCTTAAGGATGACGCCACGTCCAATGATCGAGGTTTATATCCTTCACCGTCACGCTTCGCTGGGGACGTCCAAAGAAGGATTTTCCGAAATTCAGCTAAAATATCGGTCGCTGCTGCAATAATTCCTCCAGCGTTTCCTGGAGAGTTGGCCGAATCATATCATACCTGAATCAGAACATTCCCATACATGGCCCGGAAAACATACAGCGGATCACAAGCTTCGGACATCGATTCCGTGAGGGAACAAGGGACAAGGGTTATTTGGAATATATCCGCATGCGCTCTGCTTTCAAGTCTGTGCGCCGATCGTCGGACTATGAAGCTGAACACGGTCGCCGATGCGGTCGGGTTGACAAAGAGCGATCGTCGTTTCGTCGGTCGCTCGGCCTGTCGGTCGTTCGGTTTGTCTCCTTTCTCTATTGCAAGTTCCTCGTTCAGGTCTCTCTTCTACCCGGTCGCCTGCTCTTGGTGACTCTGACGGTGCTGCAACGATGGATGACGGATTACCCAAAAAATAGCGAAAAGCTGAAAAGGAACGACTGTTCCACTCAAGTTCATTTTAAATTCTACTCGTTGTTCAATTCAAGAGGCGAATCGACAACGAGAGACTGTCCATCATCACAGTAGAAAATTCGAGCATTGCTCACGCACTCACTCACTCGCTTGCTCGTCCATTTCCTTCTTCGCCGCATTGGTCGATCGCTTGTTTGGCCGGAGCGATTCTCTGCGATCCGTTCCCGTGATCGTTTTGTTTCGGCTGCGGTGTTTCTTGCTAACAACGATTCGACGAGGATCTCATTGAGACCAGACGATTGTCAAAATAGGAGGACGATCCGGCCAGTCGGCCGGCCGTCGTCGTTCGTCCGCACTCGTTGCAATCAAGAGAGAGTCAATTGGACCTCCAGTCTAATCCTCATCATTGGGGTCGTTCATTCGCTGCACTTCGGGCTTACATGATTTAAAATCGGTTTTCGAACTCGCTCCTACCGACGGCACGCGATCTGGCCCGGCTCCAGCGGGAGTGAGCCAGCTCATTTTCACTTTTCAATTCCGAATCCCGCTGAGATATTTCAAATTACATCAAAATGGTCGTGGTGGTAGTAACGATAGCGGTGCTTGTTGATGTATCGTCGTCCCACTCGGAGATCCCGCGGATCACTCCTGCTCGATCTGCTCTCTTTATCTCAGTTCGCTTCCTCCTACTCCTGGTCGTGGTCGTCGTCGTATTCCTCAGCTCACATCGAAAAGTGTCATCAGCCAACAGCCTACAACAACGGCTACAAGAGAACCGCCTGCCCGCCCGACCGACCGCCCGCTCGCTTGCTCGGCGACAGCGGAAAACCTGATCTATGCACAGAGACAGTCGATGGCAACAATTTGCATAGTTCATCTGTACGAGGCGAGCACATATGTTGCATACGAGGGAGATGATATCCCATCGCACGCCGCAGTGTACTGAATGTGCGAAGACATTCAGCCGACTGCACAGCCCGCCGCGCCAGGCGTGCTGCGATGAAACCGATCTGTCGGCATGTCATTTCGAGAGGAGGATCTCCGAAGCGAACTCTTCCGAAATTTCCATCGTCCGAGTCCTGCTTCGCGCGACCGTGACTTCGGGCGCTTAATGAATCGTCGCGTAGGTCCGAGTCGTTTGACAACGAATACGCTTCAGAGAGAGCTCGGCCGTGCGCTTCGGGGAGGGCTTGAAGCTTGAGTGGGAAATTCCGATCCCTAACGAAGATGTATTCCGCGTCCTTACAGAATTCTATCAGACACTGTTGAAGAAGGAGAGACGACACAGGCGACATCTGAAAGAGATCGTCAGCGACAAGGCAGCCACTGATCCTTATCCGGCACGCGAATCGAACGGTGAGTCACGTTCTGTCCGAACCAAATGGTTCCAGGAGACCCTCCGAGATCGGTGCTTTTGCTTCGGTGCCGGGCTTTCGGGATACGTAACGGTAGGAGTTCCATGATCTGAATTCTAAAGGGAGTCTTCTGCAGGAATTAACACCTTCGACAACGAACAAGAGGATGAAGGTCATGAAGCTCCAGCAAGTAGAGGTGAGCTCGCAGAATCCCTCGCTTCTCGACTACGAGGACGTTTTCGTGTCCGTATTTACGGTCCAAGACACCCGACTGACTGATTGAGCGTTCCGGGAGCGTTCCGGTGCGAATATCGCCCTCCCCCAATCCTCGCGACAATGACACTCGATGTTTGCCGAAGTTGAACAAAGTTCGAAACGCGCCCGAAAGGAGCAAGCAGGAGAACTTCGAGCCGTCAGATGCATCTGTTTGATTTTCCGTTTTTGCTGATTACCGTCGACCTGACCGTCACCGGCGACTGCCGATCCAAAAACGGCTCAACTGGTGGCGATGAAAATTCCCGTTCTTCCACTTTTCTGGGTTCTCTTGTTGTTGCTCCCGCCGCCGCCGCCGCTGCTGTTGAGAAAACTGTTGAAGGAGTCACCACCTCAAACCTGGCCCCAAAAGTGCAAGTGTTGCAGAGTTGCTGTTAACTTTCGCTAATT